AATTCATTTTTATTTCTAGTCTGACGCGACACGGGCGCGTTTCGTAAAACTTATTACATTTTCAAAGACTTCACAAATACACAACTGATTAGAACTTGCGTTTCCCTGATTTTATATCTACATTTGAGTGAGGTGGGAAGGGTGATGTGGCATTACATTTGAGTGAGGTGGGAAGGATGATGTGACATTAGAGGATATTAATAGGGTATTAAAAGTATCAACACAAGACAGAACACGAAACAATGGATATTGAATAGAAGTGTTTGTAGAAAGCCTATTGGTCCATATTTCTTGATGCTTCTATATTGGAGCGGAGTCTTGAGGTGGGTAGAATATAGTTGTGCAATAATTGGCTGTTGATTGCTGGTGTTGACTTCTTGATGTGTAGTGCCTCGCAAACGTCAAGCCGCCTGCTATTGCTGTATCTATCGATGATTTCTGTGTTGTTTACTAGGATTTCTCTGGCGATGGTTTGGTTATGGGAAGAGATTATATGTTCCTTAATGGAGCCCTGTTGTTTATGCATCGTTAAACGCCTAGAAAGAGATGTTGTTGTCTTGCCTATATACTGGGTTTTTTGGAGCTTACAGTCCCCAAGTGGGCATTTGAAGGCATAGACGACGTTAGTCTCTTTTAAAGCGTTCTGTTTCATGTCTGGAGAGTTTCTCATGAGTAGGCTGGCCTCCTGGCTGGCTATAAAACCTTCTGGTTTTATAGTAAATCGTCAGTTGTATCCTCTGATTTTTGTCTGTAGGGATAACGTTTCTATTAACAATATCTTTCAGGACCCTTTCCTCTGTTTTATGAGCTGTGGAAAAGAAGTTCCTGTAAAATAGTCTAATAGGGGGTATAGGTGTTGTGTTAGTTGTCTCTTCGGAGGTTGCATGGCTTTTCACTTTCCTTCTTATGATGTGAAAGAAATCATAAGATATTATCACATCATAAGAAGGAAAGTGAAAAGCCATGCAACCTCCGAAGAGACAACTAACACAACACCTATACCCCCTATTAGACTATTTTACAGGAACTTCTTTTCCACAGCTCATAAAACAGAGGAAAGGGTCCTGAAAGATATTGTTAATAGAAACGTTATCCCTACAGACAAAAATCAGAGGATACAACTGACGATTTACTATAAAACCAGAAAAACGGCCAGCCTACTCATGAGAAACTCTCCAGACATGAAACAGAACGCTTTAAAAGAGACTAACGTCGTCTATGCCTTCAAATGCCCACTTGGGGACTGTAAGCTCCAAAAAACCCAGTATATAGGCAAGACAACAACATCTCTTTCTAGGCGTTTAACGATGCATAAACAACAGGGCTCCATTAAGGAACATATAATCTCTTCCCATAACCAAACCATCGCCAGAGAAATCCTAGTAAACAACACAGAAATCATCGATGGATACAGCGATAGCAGGCGGCTTGACGTTTGCGAGGCACTACACATCAAGAAGTCAACACCAGCAATCAACAGCCAATTATTGCACAACTATATTCTACCCACCTCAAGACTCCGCTCCAATATAGAAGCATCAAGAAATATGGACCAATAGGCTTTCTACAAACACTTCTATTCAATATCCATTGTTTCGTGTTCTGTCTTGTGTTGATACTTTTAATACCCTATTAATATCCTCTAATGTCACATCATCCTTCCCACCTCACTCAAATGTAATGCCACATCACCCTTCCCACCTCACTCAAATGTAGATATAAAATCAGGGAAACGCAAGTTCTAATCAGTTGTGTATTTGTGAAGTCTTTGAAAATGTAATAAGTTTTACGAAACGCGCCCGTGTCGCGTCAGACTAGAAATAAAAATGAATTTTGGAGAAGTGATTTTTGATTTACCTCCAACAGTGAAGCATAATGTACGAAAGATTGAGAAAATTCGTGTTAGAATTATTAATCTTACTTTTTCGGTCATATTTAATAAAATATATATATATATATATATATATATATATATATATATATATATATATATATATATATATATATATATATATATATATATATATATATTAGTATATTTTGGTAGCAGTCTTTCCTGTAGACATATATTATTAAATATGGCCGAAAAAGTAAGATTAATAATTCTATCACGAATTTTCTCAATCTTTCGTACATTTCTTTTCACTGTTGGTGGTAATTCAAAAATCAATTCTCCAAACTAGAGATAAAAATGAATTTTGGAGAATTGATTTTTGAATTACCACCAACAGTGAAAAGAAATGTACGAAAGATCGAGAAAATTCGTGTTAGAATTATTAATCTTACTTTTTTGGTCATATTTAATAATATATATATATATATATATATATATATATATATATATATATATATATATATATATATATATATATATATATATATATATATATATATATATATATATATATATATATATATATATATATATATATATATATATATATATATATATATATATATATATATATATATATATATATATATATATATATATATAAGGTACAAAGTTGATTGTCATAAGTTGTCAAGTTCCTTCAGCTCCTCAGGTGGTAGCCAGAAACCCCTGAATGCAGTATCTTTCCACTCTGTGCCGCAACGCTGAGGTGCTGGAAAGGAAGCTGGAAGCTCTAGGATCCCTTGTTGTCTCAATTAGCCGAGAGCCCAGTTCTTTGAAAAAAAGGGTGGCACTCTTTCCCCAGGCGCCGAGTGTTTCGGAAGCAATGGGGATAAAATTGGAGCGGTATTCCTGTTCTCTCTACTTACGGGACTTGGCTGATTCTCTGTGAGTGGTAGTGCCACCCGGATGTGCAACATTGAAGTCAAGGTAGGTGTTAGCCAGGGTTGTTACTCACGTGTAGTCCCACACCAACTTCGTGCCATTCTTCCAAGGATTCACTGTGATACCATCTGGGCGACCAATAAGAGCAGCAGATTTACGGAGCGGCTGGTAACTGGGCTCCAGATGTGGTGAGGCTCCTCTTGATGATGTCTTGATGATTACACTGTGCCTGGAGTGCCATCCCCTGTGCTTTGGCAGAGTAAGCCATGGTGGCCGTACCTGTCAGCCACCACCTCCATGCAAATACACCTATTTTGGTATGGATAGGGGCAGCATGGCCATCCGTCACAGCAATATAGAAGGCGTTTTGTGTGAAACATATGCCAGTTGCCGACGTAGGGGTTGCAAACAGGAAGTCACCTGCATGTGAGGCTGCTACTGCTGTGAGGCGAGCAATGTCGTGTTGTGTTGTTGCAGCACCCAGGCACTCTGCAGCAGCTTGTTCTACAATGGGGCTATCCCAGTTGGATTGCTTGAGGGCTTTTGAGTGTGATGGTTGGAAAGATGGGCTTGCACGAGAGACACATTCAGTGGCACTGTGTATAAAATCGAGATCGTATATGTCTGCCAGCCGAAGTAGGAAGGTAGAATATCCTTCACAAGGTTGTCGGATGCCGAGAAGAGGGACAGGAAGGCTGGTACAACGACTTGCTATTCAATCTCCGAGGCCCCGAAGGCTTAAGGGAAGAGAGACTTGCTTTTACTGTAGGTCATCGAGAAAGAGAGGTTGAGGGCTTTTTCTAACATTGATTGTAGTAAGTGGTTATATTCACCTAGTTTTTGGGTACTGTAGGATAATGAACACTTAAGAAAGAAGGTTAACCTGGGGAGGGAAAGGCATTTGATGATGAGGTAAAGTGTGTCATGCACATCAATATCCTCAATCCTCCCATCCATCTTATACAGGTCAGCAATTTTTTTATATCAAGGACCTTATCAATGGCCTTAAACCCCAGGAAGACTCCTACGAGTGTGCTGTCTTCAGGTTTAGTTATATGGATATTTGGCAGAACATCCTATATTTTGGCTATGATGCCCTGGTTGGAACATGTTAATTTGCAATTAAAGGATTCGGGGTGAGGACTTAATTCGCATCTTGCTTCTGGATTGTTCTCAGGTCCTCCAGGAGGGAGTCTTGGGAACCAGCTAAGGTACCATCATCCAAAAACCAGATGTTAAGTTCCTTGGACAGAACTTCTGAGATTTGTTTGATGACTAAGCAGGAAAGAGAGGAAAAAAGGGGTCACCCTGTTGGAGACCTTGCGAGTTAATTTCATATTTGCCAAAAAGTAGCTTTAGGTCCATAGTGTAGCACGAATGTACAAATGGATAGAAGGAAATGAAATGACGATAAACTGCACGGAGTACAGCGTCCCTCCACACCAAATTTAAGGCATTTTTTAAATCTAGCTTGATCAAGGCCTTTTTGTCTGTGATGTTAGCAATGAAAGCTTGAGCTGCGTGAGCTGCCGCCTCACACCCTTGTGGAATGCCAAACCTGAGCTGTTTTGTTTTCAGCATGTTAGTGCTGCATGGCTAACTGTTCTTGCAGCAGCTGTTGATGAGACAACGAAGGGAATTGCCCACATCAATTGGTCTGATCCCTCCATTCTTTATCCTTAGAGCACAGAGATATTAAGTTAGCTTTCCGTTCTCTGCCTTGTCTGATTTCTGTTGCCCAGTCATATAATTTAGTCAGTTTTATAAGGCAAGCGTTGGTGTTCCTATGCCTGTGCTTGTGTTGTGCTATTAATGCTCTTCTCCTCAAATAGTCTCCTATTCTCTCAGTCTTATTTATCACTTTGCATGATATAGAAGCAAGGGACAGTAGCTCTAGTGTGTTTATGTAACGGAGGAGGAGGGATGTTTGCTTTTCACCCATTAAAACTTCCTGTAATTCATTTTGCTATAATTGTGTTTTCCAAATTGTGTTTGGAAACACAATTTCCGCTGCCATGAACCTCACACTCCATGTTATATTTTTTTGTATGAGTTTGTGACCCATGAAGATTTTGTTATGTAGGTAACATAGCGACCTGTGGTATTTGGTGTACTTTTTAGTGCATGTGTATGTTGTGTAGCCAAAAGTGGACATTGATGGAGTTACATAAGTGTGTGGCAAAGGCAAATTTTAGGATTCAAAGTTTGCTCCCTACTGCAGGTGTGGGTGTGGAGAATCTTCTGAGAGGACTTGACCGTGAGGGCGTCACCACCAACAACCTCTTAGTGGAGGTCACAGACTATCTTTCCCTGGAAGAAGATCATCGCCTAAGACGTCTGGCTCGAAGGTTCGGAATTCTGGGATTTCAAGTCACTTGGACTGGAAGAAGATCCTACTAGCTCACGAAAACCCTCATTAATTTTTTGTATTACTATCTGGAGCCGCAGGTCAGTATTTGTAACTTAGTAAACTTACTGCAGGTCAGTATAAACTTTCACAAGTTTTACTTTTCAGTTATATTTTAATATAATTGTGTAATGTTATGATATGAATGAGCTGCAGTGTGTGGCATATGAACGACTCGACTCATGGTATTTTTTGTCATGAATTATATAAGTGACTGAATTGCAGCTTATTAACATGTTAATCCTTGAAGTGTGCTGTTCTCTCATCCGTCTGGGTCATTACTATGTCAAATTAACGAAATATATAATTAATAATATATTGTAAATATATAAATTAAATAATCGAGCAATGAATGTAATGAAATGCCTTTTCTTGGTGAGGCCATCAGTGGCTTCACGAGTTCTTATGACATCAGTTATCCAAGATGACTGTCAAATATTACATATCTAAAATTTAGTATATTACCCCCCTCCCCCCTCCCCCCTCCCAGAATGTCCCTGAAAAATGCATATAAATTTTTTATTAATCATGAAGCAATGAACAAGATTGCTTTTAGAAATTTTGTTCTATGTTTAGTGGTTAAGAAATAAGAAGATAGCTCACGTTTTCTCGATGACACAAATTTCTTCTGCATATATTGTCTCTTTGTCCCTATATGCCACATAAAGTTTGGAATTGTTATCTTAGTAATTGCCATTTTTTGTTTTTCTGCATTTGTCTTTCCTTAAAATTTTTCAATGAGGTGTTGAAGCAATAAACAAATCTCTATAAATTAAGTCGAGACCATAGAAAAGTTCATACAACATGCGAAGCTGTCTTCAGGTGGAGCTAGCTTCATCTACGCAAAATCCCAAACTTTTTACTGATAATGCAATGTGAATTTTGCGCCACGCTAATATCAACTTACTTCTTGTCAATTAATTGAATTCTCATGAACTTGTATTGTGTTCGGGAAAAGAGAATTACAAAATCCTGAATATGGTTCATGTTAGTAATTAGCTCAAAAATGTGAGTGTACAGCAGCTACAAGAATTATATGGCAAATAGTACGAAGAGTGCTACAAAAGGTGTACTCATAGGAGCAACATGGTATGAAGAGTGCTACAAAAGGTGTACTCATAGGAGCAACATGGTATGAAGAGTGCTACAAGAAGTGTACTCATTAGAACAACATGAGAAGGGGGGATTTGCTGCCGACACCATTACTAGCTGGCCGCACACGCTTTTGTTCCCTGGAAAACTCAAGATTCTGAGCACATATCAGCTTAGATCATGGCGGTTTTGTGATAATACGTCAATACTCCAAGACTCAGAGAATATCATGTTTGGAAGGAAACAATACCGATTTCATCCGCAACTGATGGACAAACAACGTTGTTGATTATCTGCTGTCCAGCTGACTGGTATTCTGCGCATCCCAGTACGCAGGCAACCCAAAATGTCGTACTGCATTTGTCGCCAATGACCGTTTTTTTGTGAGGGCAAAATGGTTCGAAAGCATACAAAAAGCTACAAAAGTCATTAACCAGGTCACTTAAGAGTCCTTCCCTGAAGGGCAAGGCTATACCCTGCGGGTATCACCACCAAAGCGGGCACCTTAGAAGGTGTATAGTGAAAGGTAGACCAAACAGCTCAATTAAATGTTAGATATCCCTGATTCCACCAGGAGAAATCATTTTATGACCTCCGATGGAGGGGAATGAATTTCTCTAGGGCCTAGGAGTGTCTCAGGCATTATGTAGGGAAGCGAATCGGTCCTCACTACGTGGAGACGTCATGGGGAGCTCAAAGCGAAAGAGAGAATGGAAGCAGCTTTCAGACGAGAAGGGACAATAGACCGAGGTGCAGCAGGCACCGAAGAAAACTGCTATCGAGGCTTCACCTTGTGCTTCTACCAGCAGACATAATGGACCTAGAGAGGACAGCAACAGTCACACACCAGCCAGTGTCAGACAATGCTTCTCTGACCACAACAACCACAAGACGACAGTATGAGACAGAAGAGGACAGTACCAGTCACACACCAGCCTGTGTCAGACACTGTACCTCTCTTCATAGCCCAGTCACAGGAAAACAGTATGAAACAGGAGAGGACACCACCAGTCTCACTCCAGACATCGTCATACTCTGCACATCTTCCAAAATTCCAGATAATGCAGGCAGACAACTTTCCTACAGCATATGGAGTAGTAACGACAATGGAAAAGGAATGACCAGAGCTCAACCTCTGCATCACAGTCAACCTGAAGGAAGAAATAATAATAACACCACGAGACCAACAGGCTACAAATTACTTAGAAAAAGTAACAGTCCAGCAAGGGAAACCTGTATGCTTGGAAAAACTGGCCGAAAGAGACCATACGTCCTGGCATCTATGCATCAAGACATTAACATTCAGTAGGTTACACAATATCAATATCTCCGAGTATGGATAGATTCTAAAATGACATTCAACAAGCAAACTCAGTATCTGAACGAGAAAGGAAAATCAGGGCTGAATATAATGAGAGCAATCACAGGAGCAATCTAGGAGCGGAACACAAAGTGTTAAGAATGTTTTACATACACACTGTTCGTTCCCTAGTTGATTATGCAGCGCCTGTCTTACTCCCTCTTTCTCCTGGTTAGTGGGCAAACCTTGAGGTTATTCAAAATGATGCAATGCGAGTCATAACAGGGGCTCCCAGATGGACTAAAATACTGAACCTAAGACTAGAAACCTAGCTAACGTCGATTGAAATAAGGGTAAAAGGGATTGCTGTGTTCATACTGACCAAGATATATTGACTAGACCTAGAATCAGTTCACTTAAAGATATAATCACTTCACTGGATAGAAGAGCCTCCAATAGCAACAGGTGGACCCATTGTGCGATAAACACCATCAATACACTCGATATAAGAAATACAGTCACTGAGAAAAGTGTCGACCTAATCCATGCAGACTTCGTTATGCAAACCCTTTGAGAATCGTGCCAGCAGACCTTGAGATAATAGCTCCTGCAGGAAAAAAGAACCAGACTAGATCCTCATCTGCTACGTAATATTGCACAGATGTATATAGAAGCAAACTTGGCATCTGACAGTTTCACATATTTCACAGCTGGATCAGTAGACCAGCACGGACAAGAAACCGAAGCTGCAGTTAAGGCAGGAAACGATGTAAATAGTTGGAGACTCTCAAACAGGTGTTCCACTTTACAAACAGATATGCTAACCATTCAGAAGGATTTGGAACATGCTCTTGCTGAACACCGACAACATGTTATCATGCATACGGATTCGAGAACTGTCATTGAAACTTTGCAACAAAACACATACGTGACAACATCCATCTGATCACAATGACATATCATTAATGCAAACACTCAAATGTCAAGACCGTTGGGTATTTACCAAATGGGTGCCAAGTCATGTGAGAATATTAGGAAATTACAGTGCAGGCGAAGCTGCAGAACTTGCAACTAAGAGAAAATATGTAGACATTTACATACCACAAAGTCAATCACAGATTAAGAAAGTAATTAGAAATAGAGCAATGCAAAATATGTAAAGTGACCACAACACAGCAGTTGCAATATCAGGATCAGCAAATGTTGCTGATCCTGCAACACAAAGATGAAAAGGAGCAGTAGAACGGCAGAAGTACACTTACATCGCATCAGGCTTGGATACCCATGTGCTTGGAAAATAGGCTTACAGGTTCCGGAAGATTAGAGGAAATATCAGCACTGTAGAGAAATACCCTACAGACCACTGGAACATTATCTGACACAGTGCACAGTGATAATTCACTGACAGTACTGTCAGTATTTCACTGTTGTACTCATAGGAGCAACATATTCCTCACCTAATTATCAAAATAAATATCACTCAGTAAATTAATTAGCTGAGTGTCATGTTAATTCACTGTCAGCACTGTGGAGAAATGGCCGAAAGATCACTGGAACATTATCTAACAGAGTGCACAGTTACAAACCCAATAAGATTTCAACTTAAAATTCAACAGAGCAGAAGAAGTTGTTAAACACATGGAGCAAAATCTCACTGAAGCGACTATACGAGTCATAAATACTCATACCTGGTTGATGGGGTTCTGGGAGTTCTTCTACTACCCATGCCCGGCCCGAGGCCAGGCTTAACTTGTGAGAGCTTGGTCCACCAGGCTGTTGCTTGCAGCGGCCCGCAGGCCCACATATCTAGAACAGCCCGGTTGGTCCGGCACTTCTTGAAGAAAACTATCTAGTTTTCTCTTGAAGATATCCACGGTTGTTCCGGCAATATTTCTTATGCTCGCTGGAAGGATGTTGAACAACCGTGGACCACTGATGTTTGTACAGTACTCTCTAATTATGCCTATGGCAACCCTGCTCTTCACTGGTTCACATACTTTGCCTAGTTAGAACAGAAACAAGTAACACATATAACACTCACAGAGTAACACTCTGGCCAGCCAGAGGCTTAGGGCCCATGCAGAAATATCCCTGCCCCCCCACCTCAATAAAAAAAAATGAGACAAAGTGCTACTAAAGGTGTACTCATAGGAGCAACATATCCCTCACCTAATTAATTATCAACATACATATCACTCGGCTAATTAATTATTTCCTAACTCTTTCTAATATACCTGTATGATATTTACATAAGTCTCAATTTGACTTCATGCGAGTTCTCATGCAACTTAGCCAATCACTATACATTAAGCACTGTGGAGAAATGCCCAACACACCAAACCATAAATACGCTTACAAATCACAAATCACAAGCACAAATCACCAGGAAAATAGAAGAGGGCAATACCACAGGTGCCATCAGAATCATGACCAGCGATGACACTATTGCCCCCAGGAACGCCACGACAGCAGAAGCTCTTCAAGACAAACACCCACCCAGAGCCCCCGACAGCAGCAGGGATCCCCAGGAAAACAATGCTGGCATAGAACCCTTGACTGTTCGAGAATCTGAGGTGTACAAAGCAGCCATGTCTTTCCCAACAGGTTCAGCAGGGGGCTTTACAGGCCTAAGACCCCAGCACATCAAACAAATGCTGAACCCGGTGCTTGGAGATGCTGCAAAGGACCTTCTAGTGGAACTTACCAGATTCTCCAACATGTCTTTGGCTGGCGGCATCCCTGAGGACATCAGGCCTGTCTTTTATGGAGCAGCACTCTGTGCTCTAAAGAAGAAGGATAGGGGTATCAGGCCCATTGCTGTTGGCAACACCCTCCGACGCCTTGTAGCTAAGGCTGCAGTGAGATCTATCAGCCAGGAAGCAGCCACCTTGCTGAAACCTCATCAGCTCGGGTTTGGGATTCCCCTAGGTTGTGAAGCTGCAGCACATGCAGCGCGGGCTTACATTGCTGATCTCCCGGACCAGAAGGCACTAGTAAAGCTTGACTTCAAAAATGCCTTCAATCAAGTCAGACGAGACGCTGTCCTCAGGGCTGTACACAACCATTTCCGTCCCCTTTACCCATTCATCCGATCGTGCTACAGTGGGGACTCTAAGCTTCTTTTTGGGGAGCATGAAATAAACTCCTGTGAAGGTGTCCAACAAGGTGACCCCTTAGCCCCCCTCCTTTTCTGCCTAGCTATCAAAGAGGTCACTGATAGTCTGACAAGCGAGCTAAACATCTGGTACCTGGATGATGGCACTCTAGCTGGAACTCCGGAAACCATTTTGGAGGATATAAGGAAAATTCAGGAGCAGGGAGCAGCCTTAGGCCTCATTCTCAATGCATCCAAATGTGAAATAATCTCCCGCAACAACCCAGACATCACTGGACAAATACAAAATGTTCTTCCAGACATTCTCGTTGTCGAGCCACTGGACTGCACTCTCCTGGGTGCCCCCATTGGCCCACGAGCAATCGAGGAGGTCCTGGTTGCAAAAATCACTGACCTAAAGAGAATGCTGGACAGGATTGACAAGATTGATGCCCATGATGCTCTCTTTCTCTACGTTCTGATGTGTTTTCTGTCCTTCAGTAGCCTTATATTTAATGAGTATGATACCCTTCTGAGGTCCACGCTGGTTAAAGTCCTGAACCTCCCGTTGGACGACTTTCAATGAGAGCAAGCATCCCTCTATGTAAGACTTTTACGGTCTTGGTGTCTGCACAGCCTCCCAGATTGCTCTACTTTCTTTTCCTCCTCCTATTCATTTTACAATCTTATAAGAGATATCCAACCAGAACCTCTGAGGGATTTAGCAGGGATACACGATCCTGCTTGCACTGAAGGTTCAAATCAGTGGGATGCTCCTGCAGTCCCAGCACATATCATAGATGCAACAAAAAATTCAAACAGTCCAACTGGGACCATCCACTAGTGGATTTTTTTTATGCCATGCTCAGCACTGCAACATCAGACAAGGAGAAAGCCCGCCTCAGAGCAGTGCTTGCCCCCCCCCCACCCTATGCAAGGGACTTTCTTCTGGCAGTATCCATGGCGGCAACAGGCACCGTTGCCGCCATGATCCAGATCCAGAATCCTTTCGTGAAGCAGTGGCTTAACGCCTTAATTTAGTGCCTCAATTCACACTGAATACAAGTGTATTTGCAAAAAGGAGGAAGCAGACCAATATGGACTGCATGGGACTCACTGCAAAAGCTGCAAGGGCTGACATGCAAGACACAACGAGGTTAATGACATCATCAAGAGGAGCCTTGCCTCAGCTTTGTGAAAAGCAGAGAAAGAACCTTTCATCCTAATGGACCAAAACCCAGATGACCCTACACTTCTCCCAGATGGCATCACAATATACCCCTGGAAGAGGGGCAGACAGCTGGAGTGGGTCTACACATGTGTATCCACCCTGGCTGACACCTACATACACTTCGGTGCTGATGAAGCAGGTAGACCGGCCAACCACAGAGAAACAGCAAAATCACTCAAGTACAGGCGACTAGCAGGTCAATACACCTTCGTTCCTATAGCGTCTGAGACGCATGGCCCTCCTACCTCCCTGGGGTAGAAGCGCATTGGGATTTCTCAAAGCACTGGGTTCCCGGCTTGTTGACATCACCAGGGACCCAAGGGCTGCCAGTTTCTTGTTTCAGCGTCTCAGTGTGGCAACCCAGAGGGGAAATGCCTGCTGCGTCCTCGGTTCCTGTCCAGAAGCGGACGAGCTTCAAGAGATCCATAACCTTAAACGCCCATTGCATTAACCAAATGTACATTTTATAACCTTTAAATACATAAAAAAACACAATTAACAAAACAAAACAATAAGGAGGGGGGGGGGAGAATAAAAGAACATAAAAATAGTATTAGAGTGGACCTTAAAATTCTCTCTAATGCGTTATGTGTGCTTTTCTTCGAGGCAAAGTGTCCCCTTCTTCCATCCAGAGGTGATACTTCCTTTCATTATATATATATATATATATATATATATATATATATATATATATATATATATATATATATATATATATATATATATATATATATATATATATGTTGTACCTAGTAGCCAGAACGTCGTACTTGGCCTACTATGCAAGGCCCGATTTGCCTAATAAGCCAAGTTTTCCTGAATTTATATATTTTTCAAATTTTTTCTTATGAAACGATAAAACTATCCATTTCATTATGTATGAATTAATTTGTTTTAGTTTGAGTTAAAACTAACGTAGATATATGGCCGAACCTAACCAACCCTCCCTAACCTAACATAACCAATCTT